AAAAAATAGAGAAATTTTGAAAAAGGGAATCTTTAAAATAGGAAATCTTTAAGAGCAGGAATATTTAGAACGTGGAATCATTTAAAGCGTGAAATGAAATCGACGAAATGTATGAGCGTACGTCTGTGGAAAAGTTGCTCCTTTTTTTTTACGCGAGTCAATCCAGTAAAATTCATGACTGTTGTCACTAGTAGAACTACGCGACAGTGAAATCCCACCACAAGGTTGAAGTTTGCTCGACTTAACAACTTCGTTTTTGGCAGATGGTACTAGACAATTATTTTTTTTTATCAGTCTGAATGGTAAGTTAGTCGTCAGCCCTCTTAACAATAGTGATTGAATACTCTGATCTACATAGTTTTCCGTTATTATCCTACGGCGTTTTGACTTCCGGTGGAACGGAAAAAGAGAACGCCTAATACAATCACTACACGAGTCGTCTCCCTGTAGTCCAAACTTTGGCATTTTGTCTGATTGGTTTGTAAAAAATTGACGGATTAATTAAACAGACGCATTTCAACTTGCTATTCCCCTTCCCTAGAAAGTAAACATGTACATTGCCCATTTTAAAGATTCCCTATTTTAAATATTCCTCATTTGTTAAAGATTCCCACCCTTAAAGATTCCCCATTTTAAACATTCTTTACTTTAAAGATTCCCTATTTTAAAGATTCCGTATTCCCCATTCCCCATTCACAATTCCTCATTCCCCATTCTACCACATAATGTCACATAATGACCCTTGAAACCTTATGAATGTTCTTCATTCTACTCTCTATATATTCCCAAAGGTATTAACACGGTGAATTCGTTTCACAATGAAGAGCTTTTGTGGTTGGTGGTTGTCTCTTTATTCTTGTGACCTTAATGCGTGCACGTGATCAGGGTGATATTGTGAGGAGAAAGTAGATGCTAGTCTCTTATTATAGAGGTGAACGGATAATTACAAGAAACGATTGATATTTAAGCATACGGGCTAACGCTCAGATCTTTCAAAAGAATGCACTCTTATTTATGCGAAATATTAGTGAACTACAAGTTATGTATTGACATAACTCATATTTTTACTCCTAAAGCCTGAAAATCTTGAATTCTCTTGAAACTGTTCTTAAAGGCCTGGTTTAAAGGAAAGAAAAAATTAATTGCCGAAGTATTGTTTCATATTACGTCGATCTCATCCTGGACTTCAGCGCCTTTTTCCTGTTATAAAAAACAACAACAAAAACAAAAAAACAAAAAACAAAAAACAACCAGTTAGACTAGGAATGGAAAAAAGGAGTTCAAGTTCTCTATACAGCCTGCTACTCTAAATGTTGATTTTTGTGTAGAAGTGGATCATGGAGAAAAGATGTTGCTTCCCAATATCGTGTAATCATATTTGGCTCGCTAGGTAGATGAGTACGCCATGATAGGGGGCCAAATGTTTTTCTGTTCGGCCCGACTCATGGAAGAACAGGGAGCCCAGACAAGCGACGAGTCTGGTTGTTTATTCGAAATATAAAGGAATGTATGGGAGGATATTGAAGAGTCTTATCATCGCAGTAAATGGTTTGAACCCGGGGGTAACATGTGAAGGTGTAGTCTGATCGTCCGGGTGAGTGTAGTCCTGAGAAGGACTGTTGTCGGTGGTAGTGACTGACGTTTCGACAACCTGTGCGGAAGTCATCATCAGAGTCAAGTGAATGATTGTTGTCAGTAGAATGTTCTTATTCCAGTTCGTGTGAAATGATCGGTTGGTTTTGCCGTGATGTTATTGGCTGTAAGACTCAAGTGACGTAAGTCGGTCGTGATTGGTCTGTTTCGATCTGTCGGTAAAGTTAGGTCGTTCTTTTTCGGTCGTTTGTGATGTTTATGTCGTGAATGAGTCGTTTGTATGGAGCGGGTAGTTGTTGACATCTGTTTAGGGGAGTCTGTTCTAAGTTAGTAAACCAGCTTTCCAGAGTCAGTCGTTGAAAATAGTCAGTGCTGTAGGTTAGGCATTGCGCAGAGTCCCAGTCAATGTTGTGGTTGGTAAGTCGATGGTGTTCAGCAATGTGATTGCTGACATCACCTTTCCTCGTCGCCCGTCTGTGTTCAGTCAGTCTTGTTGTGAGGTTTCTGCCAGTCTCACCGATGTAGGAGGCTTGGCAGTCGGAACAATTGATCTTATAAATCGTTCCCTGTCTGTTCCTCGGTTCGTCTTTGTCTTTAACGTTGGTTAGTAACTGACGTAGTGTGGTGATGGGTTTGTGGGCGACGCGGATATTGAAGGGTAGTAAGATGCGCGAGATGTTTTCAGACATGCCTTTTATGTACGGTATGGTTGCTGTAGTCGTAGGGGTTGCGGTGTCGTTTGTTTCGGTAGTGGTAGTGGGTCGGTGAGTGTTTCGTCGGATGAAGTCGTTGTTGTAGTTGTTCTTCGTAAAAACACGGTGAAGGTATTTGTTCTCGTCGGATAAGCTGTCTGTCGAGTC